AAAAGATTGGTTGTCTCGTGACCGAAGCCATTTTTTTCGTCATGTGATTTGTTAAGACAGATTACATGGTTTTTAGGCGGGGCTCATAATTAATCAAATGCATCAAGTTGTAGCAATTTCATGTAAAAATGATATGTAAAATGGTAATACTTGATTTGTTTATTCTTTTGAAAAAAAACAAGTAGACAAACTGTATTTGAATCCATTCGTCATATGGATGTATTTTGTAACTTTTTAATATCCCTGGAATACCAGACACACGTTTTTTACGAAAAAAAATGTTTTTAAGTCATTTTATAGTTATTTACATTGTTGAGTTTCCATTAAATGTTAATAAAAAATTAATGTATTTAACTGGTGAAATTATAAAGGTAGTACAGGTATTATATAGTGGGGTACGTTTTTTAAAATTTTATTTTATTTTTTAAAATAAAGTACCATAGTATTTATAACTAAGAAAAAAACTTGAAAGCTGAAAGGATTTCAGTTACTGCGAATCGACGTTTTTTGGCAGCCCAACACCTTTTGATTAAATTTAAAAATGAGCGATGGAAAAAATAAATAAAACAACATATTATGCGTATTATGTATAAGCACACGAAGCCCTGATGGTATCGTTAAAAATTTCCATCGCGTGAACACGACGAAAACCAACCAACTCCTCGGCAATTCCTCTCGGCTTATCGTTTCGCTTGATTCTCAAACTCATCGGAACTCGATCCCCTTTACCCTTTTGCTCTCGTTAACCGATCCCCACAAATGTATACGAGGACCCATCAGTAACAGTACAGCGTCTGGCAGTAGGGTTGAAAAAAATTATAGGGGTGGGAGAGCGTGTGTGTGTGAGAACGTATATACATAGCAGGGCCCTTTTATCCCGCGTGAATGAGGACTATTGTGCGTTGAAACGCTGCACGTGCATTGTATAAGTATGTGGAATTCTCGTTCTTGATGTTTTTTTTTTTTTTTTTTTTTTTTTTACAGCAAGACCCCTGTGCGAGTTTCGCGAGTGTGCATGTACACACCTTTTAAAAGTTTTTTTTTTCTTTTTATCATCATTCGTGGGTGCTTTTGTCTTTCAAGGGGAATGTAGTGTTGGGGGACGCTTGGTTTAGGGTGTGTTTGATTGTACATATGTGCCTGGTGGGCGACAGATGTCGGCTTTATTGGGGCACATTCTTGTTGATGCGAGTTTTGAATGATGAAATTGGAAATATTGTTATGGAAAGTTCAATGAACCACGAGGACACGCTGAGTTTATTTATTGAATTATAATTATTGAATCCATGATTTATTGTTTATCGTTTTTTAACACAGAAGAAATAAATATTTGTAACTTGTCGAAAACAACACAAAGGTATTTCAATTGTAGTTTTTGAAATATATTTCGTGCATTGGATTAAAAGTTTCGGGTGATTTGTTTAAAATATAATTTAAAATAAAAATAATACG